TTCTTAGACCTAAGATATATTCCCGTTCTGCCTTCCATTCATTTAGGCAAAGTAACCAAATCAAAATCCGTCTTCGGAACACGTCACGTAAATGTATTATTCTCCTTCAAAGAGCCTTATCCTATGCAGCTTCATGGTTTTCCCTTGAACCTTCGTTGAACAACAATGTTAATCTTTTTGTTGATACAATCAATTCCATCTTTGACATCTGTTGCCAGTGGAAACCCTATTTCTCTCCAATGGTTGCATTGCATCTCCGAAGCTCAAAACAGTTAGGAGACACAAAGAACATTTCTATAAATCCCGGAATTCATCAACGATCAGCTACATTTCTACCTTGATAAAAAAGAAGTTAAGCGTATCGATACAACCTCTGGAAATCAACTCCTATGCAGCCAAAACGGGAGACACCTATGGAAAGGAATTCGGATCTTATGTGGAGCGAAGTCCAAACGCAATAAATGTACTGTGGACGTTGAGAGTATAAATCAGGCATTTGTGCATCCGAGTAGCGATCCTCCTGTTTCATGGATTCCGGAAGACGCAGCTAACATAATCCCGTTCTCGAGAGAAGAAATATTTAATCTCCTTTGAACAACTAAATCATCCACTGATATTGGTCCTGACGGTTCATCTTTATCCCTTTTAAAGCATGGTACCTTGGCTCTAACGGATGCTTTTACTTCTATCCTCAACAAGTCACTTAGCTCATATTTTATTCCCAATTGCTGGAGACCCATCACGATCATTCCCATTTGAAAACCATGCAGATCCAGCACCCTGTACAAACGTTTCCGACCCATTGCTCTAACGTCATGCGGTCTTAAATTGGCAGAACGTGCCATTCTCAAACGCTTTTCTGCTTCCTTCTGTACCCCTGAAGACCATCGATTACTTAAATATGCTGATGACATAGCAGTCTGCCAAACCATTTCTGTGCCTGAGGACCTTTTACATTTCTTGAATAATCTGTCGCACATCCATGAATTTTCCGTTCGTTCAGGATTGTTCCTTGATTTATCCAAGTGCTTCAAATGCTCTTTCTCCTTCTCTCGATCTGTTTATCCTCGTGATCCGTCTGTCATAAATACGGATCCCCTAACTAGAGTAGATTCTGTGAAGTATCTAGGAGTTACAATTGACACTAACTTAAAATGGACATCCCATATTTATGACTCTGTACAGAAACTTCGCAGATTATCTTTTCAACTTTGTAGACTTAGGCAGTTCAATGCCAAGCGGAAAACCATTTCACTTTTTGTTTATCAGTGTTTTTTTTTCTTTCTTCTTTATTGTTCCCCGGTGGTTTTTGCTGGTCTGCTAAAGAAAGACTTCAAACTTCTTCGCCGAGGTTTGTCGATCATCAGTCGTGTGTCTTTTATACCCGTTGATGAGCTATCTAAAAAAGCGGTGTGAAGTTCACTTGTCCGCATGTGAAACATTTGCCCAGAAAATCCTCGCTGACCCCAAATATCCTTTAAATGGTGACTTATCTAAATGATGCTCTCATTCATCTACGCGTTCGTCTTATCGATTATTACCCTCTGGCATTAATCTCTGCAGAAATTTCCCGGTTCCCTATATTGCCAGAATCCTTGTTAACCAAGAGCGCGTTTCTTCAGAATTTCTCAGCAACCTTAAAGGCTAAGTATTTTGCTTGTATCT